CCTCACTCTGTTAAAGGCCCCCTAGAACACCAACGAGCCGTGAAGCCGAAGCCTTAACCTCTGGCTTAACAATTAACCTCAAGAATCGTATGGTTGGACTGGTGTTTGTCAGGCAAGGTTTCTGTTTCATTTCAACTGCAGCACAGCTGCAAAAAAATAAAGGAAAGAAAATTTTCTAGAAAGCAAGAAAAAATATTACTCTTTGTCTTTTCAGGAGTTCTGCTCATTTTATTCTTAAAAAATTAATATTATTCTATTCCATTTCCACACAGTATTTTTCAGAAGAGGGCTTGTTAAAAAAAAGGTTAGTTTTTAGATCAACCATTAATCTAAGATATTTTTAAATAATCACGGTTCAAAAGGAGGGACAGTTACATCCTCTAAGATTTCTGAAACCACATCATAACCTACCAGTTGCATGTGTAGTTTTATTAGAAACGTGACTTCCTGCGTGGCTCTCCAAGTTAAACCCAGCTAAAAAAATTAAATCTTTCAATCATTAAGAAAAACCTTAGCACAATTAAAAAGATATATATATACACACATACACTTTTAAATGTAAGACTGACGGGTAGCTTCTGGTCTATACGTTATTTTTTCTTTGAAGACTAAATCCAGCAGCACAACATGCAGTGCCTTTGTAATAAAAGCTTTTTTTCCCCTCTACAGTCAGCTTTGGGTCAGTCCTTATCCAAAAGACAGCACAAAACGCAATTTTCCAGCCTCTGCTAGACAGCAGTCTCAAGCTCCAGAAGGGCCCGTGTCTCAGAGACTGGTCATGGTGGTTTGCACAGCATAGGTACCAGCACCGCCACGCATTCCCGCGTTCTTCACATTGCGCTCATGGACAAAAGCGGAGTACTGTCCGTCCGCAGCGCGGGTCCTCGCCGGGGCCCACGCCTCCCACAGGCTTCCACCACGTTGGCAGCGGTCGGCAGCGTCAAAGGGCCTGGATTATTGGGGAGCGGGAGGGGGCACAATTAGTAAACAGGTATGGATGAGAAAGAGGGTGGAAATGTAAAGCAAAGGTGAAGACAAGAAGATTGATGTGAAAAGGCAAGGCAAAAGGGCATGGCTGGAAGGTAAATACGAAGGAAAGAGGCATGCATGTGTACGTGACAATGCTGTCAAATAAACCCCTTTTCTGCTCAGTATCATGCATATTCTTGCAGAAGTCTGAAATGGCAAGTTAAGCTATCTCACGTGTATGTTCTCTACACTTAGCAAATGAAAAGCACTTCATCTTCCAAAGCACCTCACAAAACTGAGCAAGAACCATGCACGTCTTACGGACAGGAGAAAGTAATGCGATGGAGGAACAGAGCTCCCAAGTATACAGTGCATTTTATCTGCAGGAAGCTGAAAGGGTTTAAGAGGCAGCTGTAAATGCACACCCTAAACAAGCAGCTATGAGCAACACCCGTTTCCAAAGTCACTGAAAAACGTATATTCTAATGCAACTTAAAAAAAAAAAAGGGGGGCCCAGGAAACAGAGCATTACTGTGCAGGAGCAAAGAAATCACTGACAGATGATTAAGTGGCCTAAATGCTACAGAAGCAGCTGGCTGTTGCTATACTTCATTAACATATAAAGTTCACTAGAAAAATAACCATTTCAAAAGAGGTCACAATACAAACTAAGAACTTGCTTTCTAATTTTGCATATGAAGGCATACTGGTTCATCAGTGTTAAATTTTGAATTCCTAAAATCAAACCCACAGAAATCCTGTGGGTGGTTATGGCTAGTCTATACCACAGCTGGAATAAAGTCCTCCAAAGGCTAGACAGAGGTGCAGAGAACGCTCATTGCTTCAAACACTGTGCCGGAAGATACTTCTATGCAGGAGCTCTTAGCTAGAAAACTCTAAGGCTTTAGACACAGGCATGTCCAAAGCAGCAGGGACGAGTAAATTACTGAAACAGCTGAATTATAAAAAAAACTTTGAAAAATGGGCTGTGAGCTGTTAACTGTTGTGCTGCACCAGGATCCTTCACTGGTGTGTTTTGGGAGAGGCTGATGCAAGGTACAGTCAGGTATCAAAAAGGGGCTTGGAAAAAAGCGCACTACTCAAGCAAGAAATTCCTCAAAAGGAATGTATTCCTTCAGTTTAATGTAAAGTTCTCTGTTTAATGACCCAAACCTAAACGAAGTGGAAATGTTGCTGTTCATCTAGAGGGGTCCTGGACAGCGCCCAGCTCAAATTCCACCTTCTCATGTTCCAGAAGGCCTGGTTTAACGCTCTCAGCCCTGCCAGAACAGCCAAGCGGCCAGCGCAGGAGTTGGAAGATCCCACATGTTCGGGCAGGGAAGCAGAAAAGCATGCAGGATGCACAACAGCAGTAAATGATTAATGCTCAGGGATAGTCCTCCTTTAGAAAAGGGAGAAGATTTAAATAAAGGTCACTCATGGGTAAATTCTGACTTTTGGATTCTGTGAAATATGCTGAGGAAGTGACCCATGAATACCAAAGGCTCCAGGCCTGAACAGTTCATTCCATTATTTTGCCACTTCTCTAATTAAGGGGTTAAGTGAAAGCTACATCCGCTAGCAAGCAAAACCGAAAATCTCTTATTCCACAATAAGGAAAAAAATTATTAAAATTTTATCTCCTGTCCCATCTCAGCATAGAAATAGCTTCTTGAGAAAAGAATGAAGTTAAAGACACTGATGATGTTTTAGGCTTCCCAGCCTTGCAGCTAATATTCCAGACCAGTATAGTTTTCCTGTACTGACCATTTTACAGGAATGGAGCAAAGAAAAAAAAATAATCACACTAAAATCCTCCCTGTCTGGCAAAGTATTTCCTACAGTCTGGCACAATTGCTGTTGGCAGCTGCAGCATTAACCTTTTGAATTAAAGGAAACATTGACATTAGGAAGGGATCTAAGCCGCAAGGTAGCCAACACAGGCATCTGCCAAGCAGAGTACAGAAACTCACGGGGTCAGGACCTTACTTCTAAACTTCTAACCATCTAACAAAATCCCCAGTCCAAAAGATTTTGGTGTTTTCAAAAATCCTTGGCAAACTCCCTCTAAAAGAAGACTATTTGTCTGACAGAAGGCAAAGATAAATCATGCAGAAATAGGCCAATTAAAGACAGCAGCAGTGGAAAAGCAACCTTGTTAGCACCATCGAGACACCGAGACTTGAAGGCGCAATAGCCGAGCCACAGCCCCACAATAAATACGTATTGTTCCGGCAATTATATTGGCTTAACCCCACTTCCCATCCAGGAAACCTGAATGCAGCTCAATTGCTGACTCAGCTCCAAACTGTTGCCTTCTTCCTACACCTGGGTAGGCCCTTTATTACAGCCAGTGCTGTTTCCAGGGAGCACACTAAAACCTCTTTGTCAGAAGACAGTGCCTGCAATTGTAACGATGTGTCTCTAAGAAACGTAACACATACGCAGTACGAGCATTACGCTCTCGACTGAAATGCATCAACTGCCAAGAAGCTTGTTTTCTTCATGGCTTATGGGTTTGGGTTTCATGCAGGTGTATTTTATGTTCACTCCCACTCGTCTGTAGAAAAGCTACACACTGCGTCAGCTGGCACGCATAGCTTAGATTCCTTGACAGTGTTAAGACAGAGAGGCTCAAGTTCTTACTCCTAAAACAGGCATACCAAGACCAAAACTGAAACAGACTGGGATCTCAATAAGCAACAGAAGCCTTGCAAATACTAGCAAGGATGCTAGCACGAATCAGATACCCAAGAAGAGCTGTTTGGAGCCAAGAGTCAAACATTTCCAACAACGGAAACACCTGTTTCCAGCAGGCATCTTGCAATTAGACCAAAAGAATAAAAATAAAACCATATTGTGAATGCTGAAGAATAAAGAAACCACCACCTTTCACCCACCACCACGGGAGGATTCGAGCGATCAACAGGATCCCACCATAGACAAGCACAGATTTCAGATACTAGACAAATCAAGGGCAAAAGAAAGAAAAACAGCATTGATCATACGTTCCGACTGAAACTTCAATTAAATGCAACACAAAGCAGAATCACCATCCCCCTTATAACCCAAAACCCATAGTATTAGAAGTCTATAATCAATAAGACTTAGGAAATTCAAGTACGCTTGCCATGGCACTGTTCGACACAGCTGTCATCTGCTTCTGAGAGATACTGAAGCAAAGGGGGTTCATATGCCCGACAATGGGAGAAGGACCTTTTTTCTTGAGGGCTGAAACTGCTTAGGATAAGAGCTTTTGTGTTCCTCCCCTTCTGCTGCTCCTGGAGAGTCTCGCAGGAATCAGAATTAACCTTCTAGGAGAAGCCACGCTGCCCCTGGATGCACAAGAAGCTGAAAAAGTTAATATGACGTGTGCACAGGGACTGGGTTGGTACGTGTCAGTTTTGGTTTTGAAACAGCTTTACAATATGGGATTATTTATTTTGAGAAAAGATAAATGATACAGGCATTTATCTTCAAACAAATTATCCTCATCTTGAGATGCATGCAATCCATAAAACAAATACACTGATTACACGACACCAAAGCTCTTATCTTCAGCTTGTATCATTTTCCTCAAGCTCCCATTTTATCCAACATAATGAAAAAAATCAGCTTGCTCATTTCAAAAGCTTCAGAAGATGATTTACAAGGATACTGGTTTAAAAGGTTCTGAGTTCTGTTAAGGATCAAGTCCTTGGGCCCCATGATACCAAGCCAAGGGTAACAAGGAGTTTTATGGCAAATGAGAAGGACCCAGCTCTCTCCAGGACTTGAAAATGCTGTTCCTGGTTTAATCATTTCTTCCGCCCCTGAAGAAACTGTCTTCCGGTTGGCAGTGACTAGGCCTGCTGTCCTCACCCCCCACACTACAGGCACAGCAACTAATCAGCTGCATCATCACTAACTTGGATGTCAACTCGGGCTAAAGATACAAGGATGTGGCAGCTTATTTAAGTGCAGATAAAGAAACAGCCACTGGAATCACGTCTAAGCAAGGAAAACCCATTTCCCAGCCAAGCAGAACGTACCACTTCTTGTCTTGCTGGCTGGCTCCGGGGCTCCTTGGGAGGTTTTCTATTTCCACTAAGACAGGGGCAGAAGGAACCGCTGTTAGGACAGGCAGGTTTGGCTTTGCATTCCAGCTCTTTGGAGACAGAAGGTAAACATGGGAGTTACTATACACACATTAGTGAAGTGAGACACATGACACACAGCAAAACATATCACCATCTATCCGTAAGCACAAAGCTAAAGCAGGGCTCGTCTTCCATTGCTTCCACAGTACTGGATACCTATGCCCAGTCTTTCCCAGTACCGGGATCATAACGAGTTCAAGGCTGCTCAAAGATGTCAATAAAAAGCTCTGGCCTGCTGTGTCCTTTTCAAATTCATGCAGTAAGGCAGTCCTTCTATACCCCAACAATTGGCACCTTGGGGTTGCAGGTCTCTGGAATGCATTTCAATCACAGCTGCTCCTGAAAAACCTACTCCTTGTTTGCACGGAAAGCAAACAGCTGGGCAGAGCAGCAAGCTGCCTGTCAGCAGAGACAGAGAATTTTGATGCTAAGACAAACCATAATCCTGTTTCCACCAACACGTGACCCTTTCTGTTGCACTCTGCATCCGAACGCTCCAGGGGCTTTCCAAACTCCAAGTGCTGGTTTTGATACTCAGAAGGAGAGTCACTAACATGCCTTTTCAGTGAGGCAAGGTTTTGGGGGTTTTTTTATGTTACATAGCATACAGAATTAATGTGGTTTGGGTAATAACTCTCACACAAAGGTACTTTGTGTACCTGTGAAAATCTGTACCTATACACAGGGTAGTTTCTGTAGTACTGGGGCATGGGGTATCTTCCTTACTGCAGCTCAATTAACCAGTTATCTTGCTTGTACATTAGTAGTCATTTCTTGGCATGCAATTTAGTAGTTAACCGTTTGTAACTTTAATTGGTCAATCACTGGACTTTGAAAACAAATAATGAAATCCTCAAATCTGTTGAAATACATGAAAACTGCTTTTTAAAAGAAGGAGAGTCCTTACTTGTGACCCATTAGTTTGGTTGGTAACAGCATTGTTTGCAGTACTGAAAGACAAAAAGAATTGAAATCAGAGTCAGATAAACTCTTTTTGCAGGCTGGCAGAACTGCAAGGATTTTCAGAAAGAAACACAAAACCTAACAAAGACCTTTCCAAAGTACCTCATTGTTCTCAAAAGGGAACTTAAAAACTTACAGTTTAGGTCAGCTGCCTGACTCTAGGTAACTAAGGGTAACACATGATTTCTCAGTTGTTCCAGCTGTAGTTTATCTGTAATTCATCTGGTTTTATCTCCTCCTTTCCTAAACCAGTTGAGTTTAGGAAGCACTCCTGATGCAGCAGCAAGGCGGGGCACTTTTAAAGCAAACACGATACGGTTTTACTTAAACACCCAGCAAAACGCGACACTGCCGAAACCTCACCGACGTGCTGTAGGTGCCACGTCTGTTCCGTGAGTAGGACTTGAAGTTTCACATCAAAGTTCACCAGAGAGATTCATGAGTTTCTTCTGCATCCAACCTCTCATGGACTGAATTACTGCTTCGGAGTCTTAAAAGCAGCCATTCAAAGTTACGTGCAGAGCAGCTCTGCACAGCATTCATAGTAATTTTATATTATTAAATATTTAATGTTTAATACATTAAATAAGACCCATATCCCTATTCCTGATGATTTCTGACTCTGCAAGAGACAGTTCCCATTTTTGAGAGACTTAAAAGCATTAACACCCTGCACAATGATTATGCATTATAAATCTCATGCAAAGCAAACTTTTTTCCCAGACTTCTGATCTTTTAAAAAAATGGTTCCAGTCTCCTACAGCCCATCAATCTTTGGATTTACAGCCTGGACAATAGCTGTTCAACCTGGCGCGCTGACAATTCAAACAGACTTCTGTATCTACTTCAGCAAGTCTCTCACTTAAATACCGTAACATCAAGACCAAACAAGCTTTTCCTTGCCTGTTTCCCAACTTCGCCCCTTCTCTAACGAGAGAGAACGTGGAGGTTCCCACAGAATAGTGCACATGCAACAGAAACGTGAAGGAACGCCTTCTGGGTAACACGTTCCCCCGTGCTGAGTTAACCCAACAGAACGGAACAACATCCATCTTTCATGAGGCATTTCAATTAGCAACACGCGAGCGTAGAGTTGCAGAAACAGCACAGATTGCTCTGGAGACGCACTGCCACACCCAGGTGCGGGTCGGAAGCCCGGAGTCTTATCAGGAGGAGAAACTGCCTACGAGGTTTCCTTTCCCACTCTCAGGATGACCTAAGCAGCATGAAACTCAGAGAAGGGCATGACAACACCGCATGACGAGTACTAATTAGTCAGTCACGCTGTGCATGCAGAGGATTTTCAAGCACTTCAATGGCACCCAATTTTGAAGAATACTTTCCCATTTTTGTAAAAGAAAAAATACAGAAGGTCACAAAGCCAGAGACCTCCACTACAGTAACTGCAGCCTTGCCCCCACGCTTCCTAGGCTTCTCCCCCTCTCGTGCAAGAGCCAACCCTGCTGCTACAAACAGAAAACGTACGTCTGTGTTAAGCCTATTGTTGTGAAGTGTTATTTCAACATTCCTTGCTCAGCTCCTGACTGTCCTGATGCTTGCCATCAAGTATCTACTTTCTGAAAATAATTTGTTTGCTATTGATCACTGCAGCGTTCACAAGTTCTTAGGGCAAAGAACAGAAACCAGAACTGAGCAACTCAGTTCCTTCACTACCAGGTAATTCTTTTGAGCCTAGTTTCCCCCTATCCTTAAGGAAGGGGATGAAAACTGTATGATTCAGGTTCGTGAGTATTTTACACTGCAACAGTAAATATGAACCTACACATGCAGAAAGAATCTAGGTATAGAAACAGAACCAAAAGGCCTCCCTCCCAATGTCGATCATGGATAATTTAGTATAAGTATATAAATACCTAAATATCTAAAAATAAATGCAGGTATAATACAGAATATAAAATCACCAACATACTTCAAAAATATTTGTTTTACTGTATTTCCTGTTTCTGACCTTCACTTGATTGTGCATTTCAGTCATGCAGGCAGACTGCAGAAAGAAGACATCCTGACGTGCTTTTACCTCATCTCTCTATTCAGCAGCACACAGAACTACAGCCCCTACCCAGCAAGAATCACAGCTTGTCCTGAACAAACCTCTCTGCCTGCTAGTAAACAAGTCTGGCAGAATCTCCTATGTGACAGCAACACAGGAGCTTTGAACAGTAGCTTTTCTGTAAAGCAAACAAATCCCATGGCAAAACCAGAGGTAAGAGGTTAATGCTCTCTACGTTTAACTGATCTTACAGCCTCCTTCAGCAGACACATCCTCAAGTACAGGTGGCAAATAAAGAGAAATTTAAATACTGGAACACATCTTACCTTGTTTCTTCAAGTTTAGCAGCATGTGCTGCAAAAAGACAAAGTGTTAATTAAAATTTAGTTTGTAATTAAGTTATCAGTTTAATATTAAGCATATTATTCATAAAAATAGTCTACCTAAAAGTCAGCAGCTGAGAGAGCAAAAGTTGCATGCATCCTATATATAGAAACAGAAGTCCCAAATCCCATGTGAAAAATACAATTAAAAAAATCTGAAGAGCAAACCCAAGAGTCAGATTTAAGCAAGTATCTGAAAGCATGCACGGAGGTCATGCCCGACCTATGCAAGACGTGGAATAAGAGACAAGGTATCATGTGCTGTCAGGCTGTGACAACTGGGTGCAATTCCCAAGAACAATGAAAAAAACTCCATGACAAAAAATTCAAACTTGATTCATAAATTTCAAATATTATCATTAATATATCACTGTTTCCTGGACTCAGGTTTTCCATCTTCATACAGAGACCCATTGTGCAATATTCACAGGTGTTTTACCTGCTGGGCAAGCTAGAATGGTGCACTTTGGGCACAAGGTTTTTCTGATAAATACATGTGATCTCTCAAATAAGTCAAAGAAAACCTAATTTCAAAAATTCAAGAGAAGGGCAAACATCTACAGAAGAATTCCTGCACAGAAGCTTTAAAGGATATGCTTACTTGATTCTCACAGTGAATGACACATCTTGGAATGGGAAGAGTTTTACCTTTCATTTGCAGTGTTCGCCTCGAGTATCTCTTGCTGGGCCTGCGTTCAAAGGATGCTGACCTCCTGGCTTTGTTGGTCTTGGTGGTTTGATATTCTGTTTTCCCACTAACAACACCATGTAAAAGTACAAAACAATAAAATAAATAATTTATTTTTAAGGACAGAATACAGACACTGCTCATCAAAACATCACATTTCTATTTTCAATTCATAGCTTAATAATCTTGTAAAAAAACCCCAAACTTAACACCTCAGGAGGCCTTTCTAAAAAAAAAGAGGACTTTTAAAAACACCCTAATCTTCACCCCATTCTCCCAAGGGAAAGGCTGAAGCAATGACTCCTTAAGCATTAAATTGCTGAAAAAGCACATTTGTCCATTGCGTATTTCTGTGGTCACAGTGCGTGCAGTTTGGGAAAGGTTTAAACTTCTAGGAAAGAGTAAAGCTTAAGGTATGTTGCCAAAGTTCACAGAGAAAGATGGTAGTAGGACTAAAAACCAGCACCTAGATGCTTTTGCTCCCAGGCAAGTCTCTCTTCCCCAGGTTTGGCCAGACTCGGTCCCCAAGGCAGGCCAGGGTGGACGGGGCTTTGAGCAACCTGACCTGGTGGAAGGTGTCCCTGCCCATGGCAGGGGGTTGGAACTGGATGATCTCCAAGGTCCCAACCCAAACCACTCTGTGATGTGATGTTCTGCTGACTCCTTGATACCAGTGATCCTTTCTGAAGCAGACTACATGGGATTGCCACGGCTGCTGGAAACAGAAGCATGGTATAGGTGTGCTGCCTGGGTTCATGCCTCAGCCTCTTCCCTATGTTCTCACCAACTCCGGGGAGGCAACTAACAGCTTCCTGTATACCAGCCATGGACCACAAGCCACTTGGAAATCTGTTACATGCACAGCTAGTGCCTGAGATGGAAATGGGCATTATCTTAGGCTTCTGAAGTCCTCCCATGACTCAGTCAGGAACTAGGGTGTCCAAAGACCTGCAATGTTCCCAAACTGTGCAAATCAACCATCCATCCCCTGTGTTCATGTAAAAAAGGGTGGGCTTTCCAGAGGAAGTGATCTGCAAAACACAATGTACTAGATATGCTACGTAAGGAACATAAACCTTGAGAAAACTCTGGTTTCCTACTGCACAGATCAGAATCACCTAATGATAAACCAGAAAATGCAGGGGAAAAAAATCTGCATGTTTTAATAAAACCTGCTCTATACATCCCAAGTGAATGAATGCCAACTTCTCTCCTGTTTCACTGGTAATCCAAGAAAAGCAAGAGCTGACAGCAGCTAAGTGCTAAATGACAGATGACACTGACCTGTATCGGAACCGGGATCCTAACCGAATGAAGCTCGATCGACTGGAGCCTTTTTGGACAGGACCTCGGAGACGGAAGAAGGCATGATGTTCCACTGCACACTTCCACAAGTGTTTGCAGGCTTTGGGATGATCCAGTCTAAAGACAAAAGTGTGCTCCTGCTCCTTTCCCTTAAAGCAGACAAAGCACACTGACGGTTTACAAAGGGCTTGAATAAGTGAAAGCTACAATTCAATACAAGCCAAATAAAATCTTTTTTTTAATGAATACTAAAATGTATGTATAAAAACATGTTTTAGGCAGAAAAAAAATCAACCTTTTATAAGCTTCAATGATCAACCCTCCATTGTCTGACGTTGGAAAGGGCTAGAGCCCATATATTTAACAAGTCAAACCTCTGAATAACTACAAATTAAAGACATTATAAAATGAAGGTACTACTCAATGAGGCTAAGATGGTTTCACTTCCAAATCTGATCTCTTCAAATTACCAATGCTCACATTTTCATTAGCTCTGAGCAGTTACTTCCCATGGGAACAATTCTGGCACCTGCTTATGGAATTCATTCCACTAAATGTGGTACACGGCCTTTTATAGACTTCCTGGCACAATGCACACAGTTTCCACATTATCTGGTCTACACGAGTTTCACCCTTTTAAAAACAAGTTAAGGAAAAAATAAGTAATGGATCCTATTGATTTTATACTTAAGTCCCTTCATTGTCCTCCTCCCTCCAAGTCACAATCAAAAATCTTTTAAGGCATCCACGATACTTCTTAACACTTAAATGTAAAGAGAGCCATCGGGAGTATGCAAACTCGTACTGTACAGTCAAGACTGAGATGTAACTGAACAGTTATCTACCTGTTCATCATCTTCAACAACGACTAGAGTGAGTTTGTTCTTCTTGAAGTCCAGCCTTGTTATCTTTGGCCTGCAAGATGAACAGAAAAAGAAGGTTACATCTAACTCTGAGGAACTTGCTGAGAAGTACTTTTGACGTGCTGGTCCAAGCCACTCTACCAGATTTTTTTTAATTTCTGTGGGTGTTTTAATTTCATGCAGTAAGTCTTGATTATACCATGGAGGTATCACTTCAAAATTAAACACTTAATTAGAAACCTTAAAGATAAGAAGCCAGCAACTTCTACAGAGATAATTCCATCAAAACTTAAAATAGTAACTACTTGAACTGAAATCAAACTCCACTTAAATACTTCTGCTTGCCTACTTTCTACAAGCCCATAAACTCAGAAAGATACAAAGGTAGGCCACAATAATTCTGCTTGATCCAAGAACTGTCAATCACTGCACAAATTCCTGTGATGACTGTTTCAGAAAACCTCAGCCAGGGACAACAACGTGAACATGACATGACAAAAATGCAATCACTTTCCCCTCTCGCCATCAACCAAAAAAATACCCAGAGACGATGCTGGAGTGACAAGACACAAGTAATATTTCTGCTACCAAGTGAGCGTTATTCTGAGAAGTTTATAAAATTGGACTAGGTTAACACAAACTATTAGTACAGTGAAATTTCACCTCATCATCTGCCTACTTATTCTTTGTGTACTGTTTTGAAAGAGCAGATGGGAATGACAGAATAAAGCACTTCAAAATCCATAAATGCCTGTGTACCCAGACCCAGCTAGAAGGTTCTCCACCTTGTGTTTTCTGCAATATAAAGTCCTGCAAAATCCCATCAGAAGGCTTCCAAGAAACCATGGAGTGTCACTCAGTTATCTGACAAAGCAGCACATGTTCATAAAAACTAAAGGAAGCTCTTATCCCCTGACAGATACATCTGTTTCTGGTTCAAGGTGGAGGGGAAGGGTGTTCGGGGTTTTTTTATTTGTTTGTTTGTAATCAGTCACTACTGATGGGCAGAAAGGGACACTTCTGCCTTTTACTAGGCACAAACGGACATCTTCTTAAAGAAAAGCCTGCCCAGACAACATCGTATACAAAAACTGCACTCATACTGTTGCTTCTGCCTCTTCTCTTCTTTTTGCTACAGGCCACCTGGGCAGG